GTTTATCTTACAAAGTCAAGGATAGGGGTGAGATAATGTATTTGGGGAAGGCTAACGTAATATTGCAGGATCTGAGCATTTTCATATAGTCTTCCCTGTTAGAGAGATGCACAAAGTTTTGATAATGGCTGCCTGCAGATGAGCATGTCCTAACATTCTCACATATATAGTACCGAAAGATTCTTATAAGAGGGAGAATGGAATACTTTTGCATTTCATTTGAGAAATTAAGGACTGAAGAACATAGTGACACTTTCTGCACTTTTTCCAAAGCTTCTAAAAAAAAAGTGCTTCGTGACATGGCTCATGAGACGTAAAGAATAAAATTCTGGCTCAGTTTTTGAGTAAAGGAAACCTGTGCGGAGATCACAGCTATGGAAATAGCATAAACAGATCATTGAAATCTAAAGGAATCTCTTGCAATTTGCAATGAGATTCAGGTCATATCAGCCAAGTTCACAGAAATTTAGATGCTATCATTGTCACGGTAATCATCAACTATTTTGGATGCATCTATTCGCAGTCAAAGTTCTACATCTGGGAGAAAAGTCCATCATATCCAGATGGCATTATACATCACAGGAAACATTTGCACTTCAGGTTGTGGTAAAACTCGGGTCACAGCTACGTTGCGAGTTTGAACCTAGTTTCCAAGTCTGAAAATCCTTGAATACACATGGTAGATGTCAAAATAATTGGATTTTATAGAGAAGGAAGATCATGAGCTGTACTCAAAGAACAGGAAATATAGCTTGCAGAAAATTAGAGAGAGTAACAGGAAGAAATTTCTAGGCTCCACAAAAAAAATGAGTTGGTGATTCACAATTTACTTTTAAATCATTGATATAGCTGCAACGTGTCTGTTATCTCTGAACAAGAGTATAAGTAGTCCCCAAATCACAACTCCACTCCCCAAACTAGTGGAGATCTCACGAGCATGCCAATAGGAGTATTCCAATGTTAGGTGAAGTGAGGTGTTACAGCAGATATGATGAAGCATCATATTAAATGTCAGTGACGATGGGAGGAGGGAACAAGGTCTCCAATCATGAGAAGGAATTGGCTTAAGATACAATTGAACTGGGCTGAGTTATTTACAATAGTGATCAGTGAGACTACATCTGACACTGAGGAAGTGTGCTAAGAAACCTTTGAGAAAGGAGGGTCACATGACAATATTAGCCATTAGTATTAACTATAAAAAGCATGCAGTTGCTGGGAAAGTGACCACCTGCAAGTTCCCCTCCAAGCCCCACACCATCCTGACTTGGAAAGACATCAGCATTCCTTCAATGTTACTGGGTCAAAATACTAGAATTCTCTTAATAGTACTGTGAATATGCCTATCCCCAAAGACACTAGCAGTTCAAGAAAGCAGCTGACCAGCACCTTCTCAAAGGCAATTAAGGATGGATTGTAAATGTTGGTGTTACCAGCTACATTCACATCTTATGACAAAGAGGGAAATATAATCCAACCAGTTAGATTTTCAGATATGGTTTATGTTGATCTAGTCATGGTGTTGAAACTGGGTGTGTTTCATTTTACAATTTAAATATGATTTTTTTGTGGGAAGGAAATGAAGTATAATTGTTATGTTGCTCACTCTTGTGCAGGTACAAATAAAATTGTTCATTAATGGCTGCCTGTGGTTGAGTACTTGTTAGGCGAACTGAGTGAAATACACAACAGCTAACAAAACAAGGGGACCGATAGAGAAACAGAGGGCTTATGAGTGCATGTCCACAAATTCCTTAAACTTGGCTGGACAGGTAAGTAAAGTGGTCAGGAAGGCATAGGGATGTGTACATCCATATTAGCTACAGTGTGGAATATAAAAGCAGGGAGGTTCTGCTAAACCTATACAAAACACTGGAATTCTACATGAAATTCTGGACACTGCATTATAGGAACAACGAGGCTGTGCTAGGATGGGATACAGAGGAAATTTGCAAGGATATCGTTTGGACTACAGAATTTCAGTTAGGAGGAAAAGGTTAGAAACACTAGGATTGGAGTGTATTGAAGTATATAAAGTTATGTAAAGGCATCTAGACAGAGGTGCTTAAAGGTATGTTCCATAAAACGGAACAGAGACTTGGAATCCTTTTTAAACCTCTTACCTGAAATTTTTTTCTTCTACCCAGAGGCTAGTGGGGATGTGGATCTGGAAAGGTTCATACAGGCAGAAACCCTCAACCTATAAAAAAATGTACTTAGATATCCAAGGCCCAAAGCTTTGTGTTAAAGTGAAATTTGCTCACGTAGATGGATTCACAATAAGAGAGCTCTTGAAAAGTGTAGCATAAGCTACCAAACAAACATTCAGCAAGACTTCAACACATGGCCCAACCTTAACCCAGGCTGACAGTCTGTGCCAATTTTCACTAACCACAGCATACAAGCCAAGCTGAAGACCAGAACCCACAAACTAAAAAAGTTCCCAGAGAATAGTATTTCCGTCAACATTTGAGCAATGGATCTGAGCCCGAACAAATGTTGCATTAAATGATGCGTCTTTAATGGTGCTTTAAAAGCCATGCATTAGTTACAAGATTTCTTTTAAATTAATGATTCAAACAATTATCCTTGTACAGCCTTCAAAAGACATTTATTAATGGCCTTTTCTCTCCATATGTGGGACAGTCAAGCAGCAATAATATATCTTGGATGTAGATATATGATGTTAAAAGCTGCAGGTCACTGATAAGTGACAAAAAAAGGCCAAATTAGCCGCTCCTAACTAGTGTCTAAGACATCGTTCTTCAAAAATTCACACTACTACGGAATATGAAAGGATGTGAAGAATACCAGCTTATCCACATGGCCAGACGCCCATTCTTCCCCACCTACTAGAAATGCTCATTTCTTTTAAATAAGAGGCAGTAAACAGACAAGCAAATGAAATATTTAAGTAAGTTCCATTACTACCAGGATTGAGATTTATTTGCAATATTGTTTTTTTTTCATACAGCAAGTCATGAAATCCTGTTTCTCTTTAAGATGGAAATTTAGTTTACAGCCCAGCGAAGATGTTCACCTCAATCCCTAACCACCACAGATCAATGCAATGGTGTCAATGGAGGTCAGTAACTAACAACAGTGTGGAATAGTTTGAAAGCTGTTGTAACTGCAGAGACAGATAGATACCCAATTTCTGAGAGGGCTTAAAACAATTGCACGTGACAAATTTGGAGGCATTAGCGACAGTGCTGCCTCCAACTTTACATTTCAGGCTCCAATTACGCTGCATCATTGCTAGCCCTTGCCATTAGAATGGTAGTCACATTTGCTAAACTGGCTAGCTATTTGTAGAGGAACAAACCCTCCAAATTAACAACCAAATTATGACAGAAACTTGAGAGCAGTGACTAAAACTTTTATAAACTCTAAGGAAAATTGAAAACTTTATCACAATGTCAGAATACAACACGAGACCATTCAGGCTAATGTGCATACCCTTTCATTAAAAAGGACTTTCTGATAAATTCCATTCATGACCCCACAAATATTTCTTTTCCGATTACAGATCCAGTTCCCTCTTGAAAGTTACTGTCGGATTTGCTTCCACCAGCCTTCGAGGGTGGGTGGTACAGATTTGAACAATTGTGTTTTGAACAAAAGTTATCACTTCTATGATTCTTGACAAATCTATCAACCTTCCAACTGTGACCGCTCATCATATGAACTCGGAAGTCACATCTTACTGGAAAAGAGCATTTATCTCTTTTTTTCCCCACACACCATTTTCGTTCCTTGCAATAACAATGACGAAAAAAGAGTAAAAACTGGGAAACTCTGGAGGTGCATATAATCATTTCCCCGCCCCCCGGGCCATCCGCTTTAACAACTCATTGCTGCAATCACACTCCAATCAATTGATTATAAAACTGATAGTATAAGATAAGCCAATTAAGTGCAGCGCACACAACACTTAAAGGAGAACCACCTTTATTAAAAGCATTTTTAAAAATTAAATTGTCACTTGAGAAAGAAGACAAATTAGTGAGATTTGTACTACTTCCTCCCACAAGGGCAAGTGGCAGAGCGGTGTGTTTACATCTTGTGCTGCATGTTTGTAGGAACAGAAGCGCCTGCTTAGCCAGTGCCCCTTTTACAATGAACTATGTCTCAATAAAATTTAGTGCACGATATTTAAAATCAGTAATTGGCCCAGATCTGATAAGCAAAGATACTAAATATGAAGTTACAAATATCCGATGCACAAAAGCCCTCAGCAGGAACGGAAATTCTTTTGGATAATACTGTACAACTGGTTCTGTAGAAGTTCCACTGTTCCTCATTACTACATCCAGTTTTCTTTAGACAGCACTACAGTATCCAACATTTCCCCACCCCCTCCCCAATCTGCGCGTGTAAAAACACTGAGTTTTCCAATTCTTCTGTAGGTAACCAGATAAAATGGGCGGCGGAGGTGGGTACATTAACTACAGCAAACGCTTTTCATTACAAATACTGCAAAGTCATTCCAATTAATATTGTGGTTAGATAAGACTAGCAGGCGGAAGGTCTGCGTCTGTAGTTAAGTAGTTTATTGGCAGTTCCAGAATATAACTTTACAAGTTGCACTAACGGTTGCAAAAGGAGGCAGTGATGCTGTAGGAGAAAGAGAAGAACGCTGTCTGCAATTATAGCATTATTGGTTCCCATTAGCCGATGGTGAAATATCTGGATCACTGCAAGTCGAACTCTTAATATTTGAAGCAATTGGACCATTAGTAATGGGATGTTTAACATTGCAACCTTGCAGTTACTTGATAATTAACACTGATCAATCTATTCAATTGTTTTTGCAGTGCTCAGAAATCCTTATAATGTACATCAGCCTGGTAGGGTAGCTTTAGCGCACAATTTGACCCCCACGAATACAACAAACTAGCAACAGGTCCAGAATCTCAGTCCAAATATTAAAATCCATTTCGGGCCACTTTATTTATCCAAATCCATTCAATCTCGACTCGAATGAGCGTTTCTCCTACCTTCTAGCTGTAACCCATTTTTGACAGCGTGCAGCTGCTGTGTCCCTCTTGGACCGATTACTCTGTGCTGTCTACAGACGTTACGATGCAGGCTGAGCTGTAGCCATTGTACTGCAGTGAGTGAAAGTTCAGTGGCAGATTCCGCATGTGAAATACCAGGCTAACCTCAGATAAGCTGTGAAGCAGAGTTCCCTGGGCTGTGTCAGAACTTTGGAATGTCTGAGTTAACTCCACTTGCGAGGGGCTTTGAATCGACGCTGAATTGCCCAGAACTTATTCACATCTTATTCGCTCCCAATGCTGTGCCAGAAGTTGCACACAAGGTGCCTTTTTTACGCCCAGCTCCCCCTGTCCAGTGAAAAATGTACGATATCTCAAGAAAACAATGCTTCAATTCAACAGTCTCCTCAGCAGTACAACACTGCAACCTCTGCTCCACTCAGAGTTGCCAACTATTCTCTCCTGTTAGAAAGGCTTTTATTTTAGGGGAAAGAATTAAGGGGGGTAGCGGAGGGAGAAAACATTTCATGAATTAGCAAACAAAATCACTCAATTCCACATTTTTTTTACTGCCACTTGCAAAGAGAAATACAATTTAAATGAGCTTAGCTGTAGCCGTTTGCACAGTGTCACAGCATTAAGAAATTTCTTGCTGGATTGAGTCGGAGAATAAGATCCATCTGGCCAAACAGATCAATAAAGAGGTTAATTGCCAATTGCTTTAGAAATTAAACTCTGTAAATCTGTCCTAGGCAGAAAGATATCTGAAATTCTGCACCTGTATTTGATGCGGGTGAAGCTCTTGTTATGCAGGAGGTTTTGCAGCTCTGCTGCATCAATACCAACATTGTTTTCTGTCAGGAATGTTGTACACACTATGTTTTCATTCTGAATCCATCAAAGATAATCGCTTCAAACAAAATGTGTTGTGTCTGATCTCAGCTTTAGAATAAATTAGAACAAATAAGTAGTAATTTTCAAATGCATCAATTTTGTGGGGGAAAAAAATTGTCCAATTAGCAAAACGTTTGGTGATCATTTAGCCTTAAAAACTGAAAAGAGAAACAATGCAGAGAGCGGCAGATTTATTTAGCATTGAGAGGAGGAAACATTTCCTCAGTTAAAGGGTCGTAAACCTGTGGAAGTCTCCAGCACAGATGGCCATGGAGACCGAGTCACTGAATATATTCAAGAAAGAGAATGATTCCTTGGTTTTTTAAAGTCATCAAGGGCTAGGGGGAGAAAACAGGAATATGCCTTTGAGATATCGGGTCAGTCTTGATTATATTGAATGGTGGGCCAAGTTGCATATTAATTAATATCCCCAATAATTACCTGTTAAACCTGAAGTCTCCACACTGAAGGGAAGTATCACTTTTAAAACCATGTCATTTAAATAGATAATGAACATAATTTAGCAAAAGTTTATTTTTAACATGACAGACACATGTTTCGACACATAAAATGCCATCAGAGACTGGTGAGCTTAGAGCTAATGCATTTCCATCACAGATATGTGAAGCTTATGTATTTCAATCTCAAATCAAAATTTAATTATCAGCACAGTGATCATTTCAATAGCATCAGCTGCGGTTTTCCCCATTTAGTAGCTCTTCAACACATGTAGCCTTAAGTTAGAGACTCTATATTCATTTGCAAGAAGTTCATTGCTTCAGTGATTTTAAGATTTCCTGGTCTCTGAACAACTGAGTATTCCTTTGTTAAAACTATCCTCTTTCATTTGCAGCCTTCCTTTCCACCCCTTGTAGTTTCTCTTTTGCCAACACCAGCCCCTCCCCAGGTTTCTCACAGCTGGCTTCTGTCATTGTCGCCTTCCTCTCCACGCCTTACAGCTTCTCTCTTGCCTCTGCTCCCACATAGCCAATCTCTCCCTCATTCCTTACAGCTTCTGACTTTCTCACCTTCTTTCAGTCTGCCTGTCACCTGCCATTAAGCCTCCCTCTCGCTCACCCCACCCCCCCAATCTCCATCTCACCCACTGCAGCCTCTTCGCCCTCTTTTCCCTGGTAGCCTCATCTTCCCCCCCGCCCCCCAATCCATCCAACCCCCAGCAGCCTTGTTCTTTCCCACACACACCTCAATTTGGGAATGAATTAGGCTACTGTGCCTGTTTATTTTGGAAGTTGTCCATTGATGACTCCCACAGTAGAGTGAATGGAAAAGGCATCAACCAGCCTATCCATCCTTCGGCCTATTAAGGCTCTTAAATTGACAATGAAAAGCTGCTTAAGGGTCTTTCTCCATCATCTCCTCGATACAGTAGGCAGGAAAAGGTGGATGCAGAATGAGAAGCCAACCACTTTTCCAGTCCAGGGTAAGAGATGGGAAGAAAAAGGGCACTTCCAATGGGAAGTCTCCTATGTCCATTAACCCATGTGCTTACTCCCCCCCACCACCTGGGTTTTTAGACCTGACTCCCCCATCCTACCCCTCTCATCAATGGACTCTTCGATTCCTTCCCAACTAAAAAAAACCCAAACTTACGTTCCAGTCCTACATCCATGGATCTTCTTCTCGAGGCTGCAGAGAGAACCGGCAGCAGCTGCTCCTGTGTTCTGGCTTGCTGGGATTGACTAGCAACTGCTAAGAATGGAACTTCCTGTCCTGAAGTCATTGAAACCATCCCAGGGTATTATCCCCTTCAAGGCAGTGCTTTTTCAAGTTGACAAGTTGGGAATACATAGTTTAGCTGGAGTGAGCAAGCAATATGGAAAGCCCCACCCCATCCCAAACCCAGAAATTTATCCCAAGGTGCCAATGCAGGTCAGTGAGTATACAGCATACAATAGCAAACAAGCTGAAATGGAGAAGGAGATGGTTCAGAGGTGGATGTATACAGGTTTCATACTTACATGGGATTTGGGCAGTACTTGTTTCTAATCCCGAACTGCCCTTGAACTCGTTGTCTCACTAGGTCATTTCAATGGGCAGTCACCTACTGCTGTGCCCCTGGAATGACATGTTGGCCAGACCAGGTAAAGATGGCACATTTCCGTCATTCAAAGGTATTAGTAAATCAAATGAGTTTTAAAGTAATGGATGACATTTTCATTACACCATTCCTGAGACTGGTTTTATTTTCCAGACCTTTACAATGATTGAAATCAGCTTCTGTGATGGAATCAGAACGATTGTCCACAAAGCATTAGCCTGGGTCTCTGGTTTGCTTATCCAACAATGTAGTCTCTGTGCCACCATCTCCCACCACAATAAAAAGATTAGGTAAATATTTATCTGATTCCCTATTTTTTGTGATGCGTGTTTTTAAAAAAACAGGAGTTGGATTAGGGGATTCAGTCCTTTGAGGCTATTCCATCGTTCAATAAGATCATGTCTGATCTTCTACCTCAGCTCCAACTTCTGACACTACCCATATATCCCTTAATTCCCATATTACGCAAAAATCTACTTACGTTTTTTTCTTTATTCGTTCACGGGATGAGGGCGTGGCTGGCTAGGCAGCATTTATTGCCCATCCCTAATTGCCCAGAGGGCAGTTAAGAGTCAACGACATTGCTGTGAGTCTAGAGTCACATGTTGGCCCGACCAGGTGAGGATGGCAGTTTCCTTCCCTAAAGGACATTAGTGAACCAGATGGGTTTTTCCAACAATTGACAATAGATTCACGGTCAACTTTGAATGTACTCAATAACTGAGCTTCAGCAGCTCCCTGAGGTAAATAATTCCAAAGATTCACAATCGTTTAAATTAAGTTATTCCTCCTCATCCCCATGTTAGAAGTTTGACCCCTTATTCTGAAACTGCAACCCCAACTTCTAGATTCTTCACCAAGGGGTAACATTTTCTCAGCTTACATCCTATAAAGCCCCTTAAGATTTTATTTTGCATTTCAATTAGATCACCTCACTTTTTTTTTCTAAACTCCAGAGATGTAAACCTTCCATACTCAACCTCTCCTCATAGGAGAATACCCTCACCCCAGGAATGAGTTTATTGAAAATTCATTGCATTCTCTCCAGGACAAGTATGTCCTTCCTTAGGTAAGAAAACCAGAATAACACACATTATCGCCAAGTAAATACAATAATGCTTATTGACTCTTATTCTCCAAGCCATTTGTAACTAAAACCACCCAGCATGTTAATTTTCAGTGATTTGTGTACAGTTCAAGGACACAATCTAAACGTAAACATTTTCTAAATTTCTACTGTTCAGAAAACCACATTTTTTAATAAAAAACTTTTCCTACCAAAGTAGATAACTACACAATTTGTTATATTGGACAAATTCTTAGCAGATGGAATACATTCAAACATCTCCAACCTCTTTGCATATTCCTCAGTATTCTTCTCACCTAATTTTGGATCAACAACATCTGAGACATTATTCTCAGTCCCTTCATCTAAATGATTACTGTAGATTGTAAATAGCACAAGCTCAAGTGCCACCCATTGTAAAACCCTAGTTGTTACAACCTGGCAACTCAAAAACATCGGACTTATTCTAATTTCACATTTTTTTCTCATTTATAAAAATACATACTGCAAGAGGAAATACAACAGTTAGCGAACAAATTGTACTTTGTTGTTGTTTTTATGTATTATTTTCTCTGTATTTTGTTACTTACTCACCTCAATGTAGACTATCATCTGGAAATAAATCTAAACAGTACTTTTTAACCATGTACACTTTTAAAAAGAATCAGGAAATGTGCAAATATCCCATTTGAGCTCCAATGGTTTATACCAATGGCTGCTACCTCAGATAGGGAATACTTAAATGTACAGGTTTCTGGAAAGAAAGACTTATATTAACATTCGTGGCCATTAGATATCCCAAAACATGTTACAGCAAATTAAATATTTTTGAAGCGTAGGCATTGTTATAATTATTATGGATAGAGGGGAACAGAAGCAAGTGTCATTCTTTTATTTTTCTTCTTTTCTGGATGTAAGGAGATTTTTTTAATTTTTCATACTACTTTCACCTTTTGCAAAATGCTGTACTGTTTTCCCCCAAAATTCTTTGTTTGTGAAGTCCAACAAACTCTACGACACATAAACATCCAAACAAGGAACAAGAATAGGCCACTCGGCCCTTCAAGCCTGCTCTGCCATTCAATAAATTCATGGCTAATCTGAGTTTACCTTCAACTCTACTTTCCTGCATATTCCCAATGACCTTTCATCCCCTTGGTAACCGAGAATCTATCTACCACCACCGTAAAAATATTTCTGCATCCACTGCCTTTTGAAGAAGGGAATTCCACAGACTCGCAATCCCCGGACCATAAAATACTTTCTCATCTTTAATTTAAATGGGCGACCCCTTACATTAAAATTATGACCCCTAATTCTAGATCATCTCACATCTTTTTAACATCCACCCAGTCAAGTCTCCTCAGGATCGTATATGTTTCAATTAAGTCACCTGTGATTCTCCTAAACTCCAGAGGATACAGGCCTGGCCAGTCTAGCTTTTCTTCATAAAGCAATCACTCATTCCAGGTATTAGTACAGTAAACCTTCTCTGAACTGCTTCCAGTGCATTTTCCTGTAGGTACAGTGACCAGTTCTGCACACAGTACTCCAGATGACGTATCATCCATGTGTGTACTACTGAAGTTTGACCTCCCTACCCTTGTATACAATTTCTCTTGCAATAAAACATAACATTCTATGAACT